CCATTAATAAAAATCTATTGTTGAACAAAGAACAAAGATGGTGGATTGGTAAGGTTCATTCAATCACTGTTCCCTAAAGAGGAATCAAGTTTTTAGTAGAAAGTTTCGTCTCATGAGTATATTCAATTCTTTAGTATCATAACTTATTTAACGTGTTATATTCTTTTTCTTCTTTTTTTTTTGTTTTTGATTGACATTTGGTGAATTGCTTTGCTCAATAACCTCTCTCTCTTCTCTTTTTTTTTCTTCTTTCACTCATTCAACAAATTCAGCTGCTAACAAGCATGCGTGATATATCTAAAGTTATTTATGGATAAATCAATCAAGAGTATGAAACGTGAAAATGAATTATTAGATGCTGTCAAATCATCTAATATATCTTCGGTTCAACGTATTTTATTCAAATGTCGTTCAGGAAAAACAAGTAAGTCATAAAATTCAATTTTGTTCGTTTATATCAATCGAATTCTTTAGATATAGTATCTCCCAAAAAGATCAATATTAATTTTCAAGACGATAATGGGTAAGTAGAACAAAAAAAAAAAGAAAGAATTGTCATGACTATAGGCTAGATAATACTTAATCGTAGTTGTTTTGTTGTTGTTGATGATATACAAAACATTAGATAATCATCATTATCATATTGATAGTTTGTTTCTCATTTACATGCTTTCTTACTATTGGTTACATATGTTTATCTTAAAAAAAAAGAAGAAAAACAACGAATGCTTATTCATATGGTTCATATTAATGAAGTCTCTTTTTTATTTTGTTTTGAGAAAATAAAAGATAATTATTTCCATACCATGTCAAGGTTTATTTTTTTTAATGAAAATCTAATACAACTATCGGAATATTCATGTATGCATATTGATTTTATATATTTATCTGAATGGCGACGGTCAAGAGATTAAACTGTTCGATAGTAGTATGCGTTCATATCTCGCTTGTTAATGGAAAAGAAGAAAAAAAAGGATATCACCAGTAGTATTATTAACCTCTGATCAAAAAGGTCGTCGTTTAGGGCATGTAAATATATCATTATCGTTGTCTATAACAACATGACTATTAATTCTTTTTTATACGAATTTAAAAAAAATACTCTCTAAGCCTTAAATGAAACCAAAAAAAGAAACGGAAATCAATTTTAATTAACACGTTGATTGTGTATTATAACCTTGATTCTGTTCACACTCTTATCATCATATATGAATAATTAGTTCTTTTGAACATCTATTTCCTCAAAAAGACCTTGTTAGGATAAGTCTATCATCGTAGAAATAAAAAAAAAAAAAAGATGATGAGATAAGGTCAAAGGCGTTTCATTTTTCTTTATCATGTCGTGTGTAGAAATTCATTGTATGAATGTTAATTTTTATTGATGATTGTTTTCGACATTGATCATCTGCTCGTGCATTTTTTTTAATGTGTATGTGTTAAAATAAAAGATAAGAATGAATATGAAATATATTAAAATGAAAAGTCAGCATGAATCCCTTTTTTTTTTTTTTTGATAATTGATCATGAGATGAATTAAAAGTCTATGGATCTATGTGATAAAGGAGGAAAGCATTAGGATCAAAAAAAAAAGAAGATACGTGACTTCCGGATGTTGATTTTTTTTTTTCGCGGTTATAACTATTATTTCTTACATCAGTTCTTGTTCGCTTTGAATGAACTATTGTGCGATTCCCGAATGAGAGAGTCAGATTGAAAAAAAAAAGGAAACGGAAGAAAAAGGTCAAGTAGCGACAAACGATGATGATGATGATGATGATCATGTTGTCTCAAGAGAGATTTGTACAAGATCATGAAAATGCTCACGTTATTTTTTTTTTTGGCTTGCAACTATCTTGATATTTCTTCTTCCTTCTAAAAGAGATGATCCAATTGATCATTTCCTTCATCCCTTCATCATTCTATTTCTCCTATCAACATCTTTTCTTTTTTTTCCTCCACACGCAATCTTCGCTGTTGTACCATGTAGTGTCAAAGATTTACGTAATCTTGAGTGCACATACATGCGCGCATCATCGACACAGACAAAAAAAAGGATAACTGTGTAATTGCATCCATTTTTTTTCTCTATATCACAATCAAATAGCAGAAAAAATCTCGACTCGGTAAAGTGTGTATGATATTCAATTGACCATTTGTTTTTATTATGGTCAATCTATATAATTATTAGTCAAGGGTTTCATATCATTTTGTTTGTTTTTTTGTATTCTAGAATGAGCCCAATCCATGAGGCAGCCGTTGGGGGTAATGTTGAAATCCTTAAGCTGCTTATTGATAATGGTGCCAATATAAATTTAAAAGATAATAAAGGTCTTCGTCCATTACATTATGCAGCATGGCAAGGTCGTACTGAACCTGTTTTTATACTTTTACGTCGTGGTGCTAATGTAAATGAACAGTCAATAAATGGTGATACACCATTACATTTAGCAAGTCAATATGGTCATAATGATATAGTACAATTACTTTTATTTCATCAAGCTGATCCAACCATAGTAAATCGTCGTTTATTAACATCTCTTGATTTAGCATGTGAAAATGGACGTTTTGATGTTGTTAATTCACTTGTACAAAATTCTTTATGTCAAAGAATGATATTAAATAGTAACGAACAAAATTGTTCATTACATTTAGCAGCTAAAAATGGACATACAGATATTGTTCGTTTATTATTATTAAATGGAATGGATATTAATCGTATAACAATTAATGATGGAACAGCTTTACATGTTGCTTGTAGAAATGGACGTTATGAAACAGCAAAATTATTATTAGAATGTGGCATTGATATTAATCTTTGTAATGCATATGAACAAACAGCAGAAGAAGTTGTTATTAAACAAAAAACTGGAAATGATATAAAACGATTAATAAAAGGTTTGAATAGTCAAAATAAAACAAGATTTAAATGATGAAAAAAAATTTTTTTTTTATTTAGAATTTTCTGATGCGGTATTAGTTCGTGCAATACGTTCATATACAGATAATCATGTTGGAGCATTGAATTTTTCCGAAGGAGATTGTATTACAGTAAGAGAAGAATTCTAATAGATTAGATGATTATTATTATGTGGAATATTTAGGTTTTGGAAAGAAATCCATCAGGTCAATGGCGTGGTTTTATTCTTCAAGAAGATTTAACTACACGAATGGGTTATTTTCCGAATACACATGTTCAATTGAATAATACTAGTGAGATTTGTGATGGTTTTGAATGAATACATAGATCGTTAAAAAAAAAATCATAAGAAAAGATAAATTATAAAATATTAAATCATGTTTCAGTTAAATTCAATTTTTATTTGATATGTACAACAAGTGAATTCTACTAACTGTTTAATCATTTATGAGTAAGGACTATGGGCATTATGCAGAATTAAATGAGTTTTGAATATCCTTGAAATAGTTCGAGGTCTTAGCTCATTTCTGTGTAAATATTGTTTTTCGAATTTCGACTTAACAATTTGTACATAGATAGTCCTTAACGAGAGTAGTTTATTGTGAAAGTTTCAGTTTCTTTTATCCGGAAGCAACAACATCAAACCTACTGTTGTATATGAGCGATATGAAAGACATATTTTTCTTATAGGTGTATTCTTGAATAAGAATAACAATCAAACTTAAAACATTCACAAGAAACTATTCTTGTTGAGTCGTGTTTCTATGAAAATTTTCAAGTCGAAATTCAACAATCAGTTGTTCAGAATGTCCTTGAAGAGAGAATCACAGCAGTAGAGTCCGTCGGATTGAATCCGAACCTGATAGACTCTGGTGGTTTGCAAAATGTGTAGATTGTACTAGCTATCGAATAGAAGAGAAAATCGGAAAACATCATCTCTTATCTGCGAAGCGATTATATGATTCTGGTTAAAAAACTTCATTGAGAGTATCAAACTATCGTACGACTGGGTCCATATCCGAAATTTTTGAGCTTGACGAGTTCTACACGGTAGTCATTTTAAAACTACCAGTATTTCGGTATCAAAAAGTTAAAGGCATGAATTTTTTTTTTGAGAGTATTCATAATTCACTTGGACCTGCATATTATCTATAGTTTCGATTTAAAAGCGATTTATCAGTTGTAGAACTTCGTTCATAATCAGCAAATGAAAAGATAGACATTATTGGTTAATGTAAATGAAAGGAACCTTTACATATTCATAAAAAAGTAATTATATGTAAAAAAAATTCAACTTAATCCTTATTTTGTTATGACTAATATTCATTGTCATATAAGATGTCAAAATAATCTTTATTTAATTTATCTTTTCTATGATGATTTTTTTTGTTCTTTGATTTTGATTTTGTTATTGTTGCATGCATGCATGTATGTATGTTTGTATATTTATTGTCAAGGTCTATCTACTTTTCGAAAAACTCATCTTTCGCCTGTCAATATTAATAACAATATTCGATTGTTGACAGCTTCAACATCAATTTCCAGTAACAATGTTGTTTTAAGACATCATCGTCCTAGTTGTGTGTTTTCATAATTTATATTTCTATCAATCATTTAATAAATCTTTATTTATTCATATTTATTTTCTAGTAATAAATGGTAAAGAAATGCGCCATACAACATCAGATGATATTCATCGAACACCACAATATAATGGAGATTTATCTCCTGTTGATAGTGATTCTTTATCACGTGTATCACAAGCTGATTCTGGTTTAGTAACAACATCAAGTTGGTGTTCACGTTCAAGACGTGATAGTCCAACAAGTAATAGCTATCGTCATAGTGCAGCAAGTAGTATTGATAGTGGAAGAAGTTCCACAGCTTTATATGATAGTCCAAAAGTAATAGAAATCAAAGAAGATTTTTGAATTATTTTATAAAGATTTTGTTTTTTTTTTTTGTTGCATGTAATTTAGACTCTTGCTTTATCAAGTTTTATGGGTGTAACAACAACAATTAGTCCATTATCATCAACAAATAATTCAACAATTGGTGATGCACGTTCAATATGTAGTAGTGAATCAAAATCATCTGATCAAGATAAAACAAGTTATCGTAGTTCAAATAGTAGTTTAGATCGTTTAGATGAATCAAACACATTAAATATAAGTACCAATATAAATACATTATTACGTAATAGTGTCCCTGAAAATGAAATTGTCTTATCATGGTTACGTGAATTTTCATATGAAGATTATGCTGATAATTTCTTATCGAATGGTTATGATATACAAACTATTGTTCGAATGACACCTGAAGTAATTTTATTAAAATAAAGAAAAAAAAAAAATGGAAATTCTTTGTTTCTCTTTTTTTTCTTCTTAACAGGATTTAACAGCTATTGGTATAACACATCCATCACATCGACGTAAAATAAAAAATGAAATAGCTCGTTTACATTTACCCGATGGTTTACCAGATAAAAAATTAGATACACTTCATGATTGGATATCATGTCTTCGCTTAAGTCAATATTTACCTTTATTAAATGAACAAAATTATAAACAATTATCAGATATTATGGATATTGCTTGGGAAGATCTTGAAGATATTGGCATTACACGTTTAGGTAATAAACATATGAATTTTTTTTGCAAATCAACATTCGTTTAATAACTTGTAATGCAAAAGTCATAGTACAACTGTCGAGCGACTCTTATTTTTCTTCAATAGAGAAGGATGTTGAAAGAAAGTTTTCTTTTACTCAGAAGATAGAGAATTTTTTTATCATACATTTATAAACGTCATTACATAAGAGGAAACGGAAGTATTCTCAAAACGAGTCTTCATTTTTCATATACATTATAACCTGTCTATAGTGAACATCCTTCCATCTTTTTAACACTATCCATCGTATAACTATATGACGATATCCACTATGGGAGATTCTACTGTAATCTAAAATAACGGAACTAAACTATGGTTTTTGCATTAGTTGATAGAAAATTTTTCTCTATTCCGAAACTTCTATGAATTGATTTTGTTATATATGCATAACCCAAATGGCATGTGAAGAAAAAAGAAATGTTCGCTCAGCTAATATTGATTTATGAAATAGATCTTTGAAAATGGCAGCTAATTAATTATTACTAAGGAGTAGTCGTTTAGTAAAACTTTCTAATTAATAGTTATAAGACAACTAGTAAAATCTCTTAATAATCGTTGTAATATCAGTCAGCGCTAATTAGCGAGTAAACTATTAGTCGTAAATTATGAAAAAGATCATCGGTTGATATCAGAAAACGTCTAACTTATGGAAAGTTATATAAAACGATTCTTCGTAATTGTAATATTATTTTAGATGATGAAAAATATCATTACATTTATTGGAAATAATGCTGCGTTAAATCTATATTATTACGCTATTGACTCTAATAGTTATGTAATAATCTTTGGTATGCCTGCTGTTAGATTAACATAATATTTAAGTTGATTTGCAAGATTTATTTTTTTTTTCCTTCTCGTATCTTTTTGTTTATGAATATATAATAAAATTAAATCATTTACAATGCGGAAGAAAGAAAATTTTCCTATTAGCTGATAGAAAAATAACCTTTTTAACATCTGTTTATTAATGGATAATAACCATCAATATTTTGTCGTGTAATTCGGAATTATATGAAAAGTATAGATTTCTTTTGAGAGTACTTCTCTTTTTTTGTTGTGTCATTTCGTTTATGAATACATGATAAAATTAAGTTCTATAGAATTCATAAGAGAAAACGACTCCCTATTTTCTGGATAAAAATAGTTTTTCTTCAGTACCTTTCTATTGAAGAGAAATACGGATTAACATTTGTAGCATTACTTTTGCATCATTCGTTATCTATGACCATGAGAAAGTGATTGAATATATATTAAAAAAAATAGCAAGATCAATTTTCATCTTTAACCTTGACATAACTCTTCAATAAAATAATTAGCAAAATAAATATTCATTAATTTACTAGGAAAGTCCTACGAGGAATAAATCGTTTTTGACTCTAGACTACGTGTATTATATAGATCTAAATATGCTTTGAATACCTTGAAAAGAATTGATGTCTTTAGCTTATTACTGGCAAGATACTTCAGTTTTTAAAAGAATGTCGTGATTTCTCTTAGGAAAACGAGGGAATGTTATTTTGTCGCACGGAATACGATTGAAGGATGTGGGATGTAACTAAAGAGAAGATCCACATCTTCGAGTTTTATTTTGAATGAAATACAATTTTTTATTTTTTTGTTCTTTAGGTCATCAAAAACGTTTTATGCTTGGTATAAAGCGTCTCAAAGATATTAAGAAAGGCCTTTATCAAGTTAATACAAATTCATCATCACAATCTTCAACAGTAGTATCATCTCCGAATAATCATCGTTTGCCATCAACACCATCAAGACAATCAAGTGGTTTAAATAATCGACCAAATGTTCCAATACGACAAACAAAATCTACACTTGAACGTTGTAATTCTCTTGAAAATAATAGTATAATACCAACACAATTAACTATTCGAAAGTAAAAAAAAAAATATTTTATTGAAAATTGTTTTCTTTTATTTTTTTCTATTTTCTAGACCATCAATTCAATTATCTCATCTATCACCAACACGAATAACTTCAAATGGTGATTCATCCAATTATGCAACTCTTCGAAAACCTCCAGTATCACCAAAAACACTACTTCATAAACAACAACAACAACAAAAAATTATTTCAAATATTAATCCTATGGCAACATCATCGTTTCGTTTACCACCTCCATTATCATCAACTACAACAACAACAACAACAACAACAAATAATACAAATTCATCTTCGAATAATGAATTATTATCATCATCATCTCGAACACGTAGTTTAGAAAATATAAATTCAAATGAAAAAAAACTTCCATCAATACCATTACAAAATGATACAAATTCATCAATAACTAATGGAAATTTATCACAATCTATGCAAACTACACATAAAAAAACAAATCTACAATTATTAGGTGATGCTAATCTATCATCAAGTACAGAATCAACAAATGGCATTCCATTTGCAAATGAAAATGTTGGAACTATAAAACAACGTTCACCACATAATCAAAATAATAATTTATATAATACATCATTAGATCCAATGAAACGTTCATTACCAATACAATTTTTTGAACAATCAAATACACATTTATTAAAACCATCGTATCCAATGACAACAGCTATTTATGATAATAATGATAGATTTATATCAACAAATATACATTCACCTAATAAACAAATACGAAAAACTTCAACATTATCACCAACACAAATTAATGGAAGAAATTCATCAATAGTAACTGGAGATAAACGTTTACAATATATTGAAATTATTAAAAAAGATAAACAAAATAAAACAGTCAAGTAAGTTTTATGAAGGAATCATTTCAAAGGATTCACTTCTTTTAAGCTCATATTTTGAACATTGCTTGTAAAATCTTCTAACTACATCAGATATCATCACAGAGGATGATTCGAACCGAGTAAGACCAACAACAAGAACATGTCAGAAGAAATCTATAGATCTTGATTTGTTAAGAATTTCAAGTGAGCCAGCGTCAAGAATGACGATCTCATCTAACGCAATTCGTGATTTCATGTTTCAGTTCGCGGAGAGCATAATTTAAGCTATTTTTCATCGAATCATACTATTTTCTTATTTTATTTTCATTTTTCTCAGCAAGTAAAGAAGAACTTTAATGATATGAGTCGATGCTTTTTTGTATATTAAAAGTATGGCTGGTCACTTTGTAACAAATCATACTAATACAAGCTATAGAACTTTCATGACTCACGCTCATGCCAATGTCTACTCGTGTCCTATGGTAAAAAAATCAGTCATATTGTCATCACTTGGCAAATAGGGTCTATTAGTTCCGAATCGTTAGTATTTTTTCTAATATAGATATCCTCTCTATATGCTCAAATTACTGACTCAAAAGTAATGTGTCATAGTAGAAGATTTTCTTGTTAATGAATTTTCTTTGATCTAATAATTTGATTATCTTTTGGTGGTTTTTTTTTTTAGAAATGACACAACAAATGCATTGTCTGATATTGATTCAATGCTCTCTGATCTTAATCGAGAACTTGATCAAATGCTTGATTATGAACCAATGTCTTCTACGACTCGACCTTAAACTTTTTGTCAGATGTTATTTTGAATAAGTAATATTCTTATTCAGATAGACAAATATCAGATTAATGAAATTTCTCTTTCTTTTTTAAATTAATTGTCATTCTTTTTCTTTTTTTTTGTTCTTGTGTGTGTGTATATTCTTACATCTGATATTTCTGCCTTATTTATTTGAATGAAATTGAAACATTAACATATATATATAAATATATATATGTATGCGTGCAAATTAAGTCTCTCAGGAAGTTTGAGAAACTATTTTTTTTTCTATACTCGAAGTCTGTTTATTTGTTCATCTTCTACGTTTTTTTAGTGTGTGTAATAAATAAAATGAAACAGATGGAAGAAAAATGAATAAATTCTATGTATTTAAGCAATCCATTACTTTTAGAATTGTATCAAGTAAATCTACATAAGTTCACTTCGGTTGAAATTTGAAATGTTTTAGTCGATGTTATCTAAATATGTCAGATTTAAAATACTTTTTCTCATATATTCTTTCTTCAGATAAGCCTTATCTATCTTTTATATGCTTAGTATATAAAGAAAAAGGAATTGACTTGAGGAAAAGAAGATTAACATGATTATAGTTATGAGTATCATAAATAAGAAATGAAGGATTACTAGGAATAGATTTTTTTCTCTAAACGAAAAAAAAAAAGGTTAATATGATCATTAACAAATGTTGATCGAACGTTGATAATTTTATAGTTTATTTATGATTACTTAGCAAATAAAGCTTTATGTTTCCTAGAATATTAATCTAAATAGAGATTACTTAACTTACATGATCAACATGAATTAAAGTATCTGATAGTTTAAAACAGATTAATTACTCTTTGTTTTATACATCATAATCAGTGTCTTTTATTTTAGATAGAAGTGTATAAATGGTACTTTCGAAAGTTCACTTAACAAAAATATTACAATATGAATTAGTGGTAAAGAAAGTAATTATGATATAAATCTTATTAGTTTAAATGATGCATTGATTCGAAATATTAGTATAGATTAGTCAATAATTATTTTCACAGAACATGATCTAACTCAGACAGTAATTTTAGCAAAATGTCTAGATTTCGTTTAATGACTTCTATCAGAAATAACAACATTCCATTAAAAAAACGAATTCAGACAAAGTTTATCCACTGAACAAGTACAAAACCTTTTTTTTCTTTTGCTTGATTGAGAATGATATCATTCAAGTTAAGATCAAATTCTGCATCTAGCTCAAGCAATTAGATAGTCAACACAAGTTGTACAGCGAATTCGAATAAGAAAAGATCGAATACAATGCTAATTTCACATGCATTATGTAAGAATATTGCTGCAACCTGTTTTACATATTGATTGTTTCGAGGAAAATATAAAATCATGAATGGAACATGATTTGTAACAGTAACTAGTACTTGGTTTACCTCTTTATTTCCTATATGTAGATGTATGAATCAGTTTTGTCACTAAAACTTTGGAAATTGATGAAACTTGGAGCCCATATTCGTGTTTGGATATCTCAGAACTTTTCTGAAGACAATGTCGAAACGGTTTGATCCGTAATGCGACCTGCAAGTTCGATCAATTTCCGGACTTTTCTTGTTAGATAAGGCAATTTTCTCCCCTCTCTTGGTCAGTTTCAGTATAATCCGTTTGTTTCTCGAGTTTGAAATCATCGAACTAGATAATTTCTTCATACACTTTCAAAGAGTACGTTTTAATTTTTACCTGACATATAATGCATAGAAATAATAAGATGAATTGAAAATACTTCTTAAAAACTCATTCCATGTATCAAGCTTTGCTGCTGCTCGAATCTGTATATGACTATAACGAAAGTTAGAATAACTATGATATGCCTAGTCCATCAACTAAACGAATAAATACTCGATTCAGACCTATTTCAACAGACTCCTAGACTATGCGGAAAAAAATTCGAATATTTCTCTAGTGCAGAAGAAACTTAATGTATTTCAACGTGAAATTCATGCCCAAACTAAGATAAATAGTTACTCGATAATTATATAACTTGAATGTGCTATGAAATGCATGATAAATATCGAGCTAGTACTGCTGTTCATGAGAAAAAAAGAAGAAAAATATTCGATGATAGTAAAGTAAGAATTCTTCATTTGGATGCAAGCAAGCGACACCGCAAACGATGTAAAACGACAAATATTGGCGTCATTTTGTCGTCATTTTTCGTTAGCTTGTAAACTGGCCTAACGGATTATGTCAGACTATGGTGAAAATCAATGCAGTAATGCGACGTTTCAGATCATTTCACACGCCATTACTGATAGTCGAAATTATTGCTGTGCGCATTTGATTCGTTCATAATTTGCCTTTGAGATAAACAACATTTCTTGGGTTTGTGTGTGTGTGACTCGATTACTGCAACTTACCTTTAGTTAATTTAGTCTAATAGGTAAGATAAGAAACTGACGAACGACCTCTGTCGGTTAATCATTGGATGAAGATGAAATTTATTATGAATCATGTAAATATCAGACCAGGCCAGCTAGACCACACATGGCGTTCTCTTCGAAATGTTTATTTTACATAACACTTAGAATTTATTTTAGAAAAATTTACATGAAATGGAATGACGATAAAAATTATTTTTCTTTTACTTGTTTATCTTATTAATGTAAAAGTTCATTAATGTTTTTAGAACGATCTTCGGTAAAATTTAATTAGAATAATGAATACAACGACAAAATATTTAGAACAAATGCTCAATGTCAAATTTGATCCAACATTTTTACCGATTGTAGCTACTAGTTTTATTGTATTTACAAGTCTTTATAAATTTGTTAATCCAGTTTTATCAAATTTATTAGTCAAAAATTATAAAAATTTAACTGAAACACAACAGATTGATTGGAATACAAGGTATTTTCTTATTTTTCTAATTAAAAAAGAAACCAAAACTAGACAAAAAGAATTCTTTAGAATCAATTCATCAATTAATTCGATTGTTGTGGGTACTATTTGTGTATATATGATGATTGCTGATTGTGGACTTAATGCCAATCCTCTTGTGTAAGAGAAAATAAAAAAAATTATATTTTATTTTGTACCTATTTGAACTTCTCTTATGTAGATATAAAAGCTATTTACTAAAAACAAATTTATCTATTGTTATTGGATATTTATTAAGTGGTACGTAATAAGAATATTTTTTTCTATTTGCGGTGTTTATCTCATCGTAAAAAGTATGATAAGAAAAAGGACAAAAAGTCATGCAGAATAATAAAAACTTCGTATGTCTCGAAAATAAGTTGCGAAAAAAGAAGTTTAACTAATGTTCATATGCATGGCATAAATAAGAGAAATTTATATTTATATAATAAATCCTGAAATAGAACGCCCAGCTCGAACTTTATTATTTTTTTCAAAGAAGATTTCTCACGTACAAAACCAGAGAAAAAAGATCAGACTTTAATCCTTTCAATGTGGGACTAGTTTTTGAAATAAATACTATGTTCAATATTATGAAATATACTGTTCAATATAATACTTCTCAATTGGTTTAGGAAAGTCACAGCTGTCTCTTTAATGTTTTTTTCTAATAGATCCATATGAAAAGTTATGAAATCATACCCGAATAGGTTCTAACATAGGATGAGCACTTATTGTTACGTTCAAAGATAATGATTGCTTGTGTTCTGCTTAGTAGGAATAGATTAGCATGTGCTCTACCTCAATGGAAAGACGACAAAATTTGATCAAGAATGAATAGTTCAACACGAAAATATCATTAGCTTTAGCAATGCGACAGACAGTGAATATCAAAAGTAATAATAACTACTCACACATATTTAAATTTCGAGGGAGACCTATATACATAAGAGAGTGTAAAACGCGACTTTAGTTGACCTTGAACGAGTAAATTTCATAAAAATAAATTCTTATGCATTTCATTGCATTGAATACCAATGACGAACGTTTATTCATATTATCCCCAGTATACTGGTAGTAGATTACTGACCAGAGAACATCTACTGGTATGCTGCGGTAGAATAATAGTCAGAGAATAGCCAACTATTTAAGTATCAAAAAGCAATCTATATCGTGCAAATGATTTGATGTTTTATTTATCCAATAAATACGAAAAAGGTATTTAGTTGATTCACATACAAGGTGGAGTGTGTTATCGATCGCACTAAGTAATACGAGTGTTACTCAGATGAAACAGTGTTTACTTGTATACTATAATTAACAGTTTAACTAAAAACAGTAACTCATTTAACTCTTTGAAATTGAGCGATAGACATTTTAGCCGTGAAAATTTTTTGTTAATAAATGATATTCTTCAAGATATTGAAGTATTCATGAACGTATCTTGCTCTTTTTGTTCAATAAATAATCCAACTTATTTCGCATGTTGTTTTTACAATCGCTAAAATATGCTAATCTTATGTGAATCATGATCATTATAAGAACAAATTTTTTATAACTGTCTAATATATAACTACAATGATTGTCGGATTCCATCGTGTAGCAATTCTTTTTTTTTGTAAAAGAAATCTACTTTTAATGGTGTCATTCTGAGTTAGATCAGGACAGTGAGAGTCATCACCAAGTGGTCCTATTTTGAGGCTTGTTATAAACTATTCTTTCTGATTCCAATCAGTTTTTAATATTTGTTTTTGCACAAAAGTTTTCAAAAAGTATCTTTACTTAATTTATCCTTTGGTTCTAGCTTTTGATTCTATAAATAATCCATTAACTTCTTTTCTTTGACGATTAGCATTACGACTAAGTCATCCTAATTACACTAAAGTGTTGTTGGAAAGTAACAGGAAAATTATTTATTTTTAAGTACTCTTATAAAGATTCTAATGAATCTAATAGACAGTCATATCAATTTATGTGAAATGACATGTGTTTCCTCTGATGTGTTCTTTATAAAATCTTAATAGTAGAACTTTTATTTTAAGCATATATTTGAAATTGAAAAATTTCCATAGCTTTGTGATAATAATTTAATGTTATCTCTGTATG